TGATGATCCTCCAATTCCTTCCCCATATGACCCAGCACCGCCAAATCTAGGAAAATATGGCATCAAAACATTAATCTTATAGAGATCTGCCACAAGACGTACGATCACACAATCTGCCATTAATATATTCATACTCGCGACGACGCTAGCAATCGTCGGTACCCATAATGGACCACCAGCAATAAGTGAGTCTGTGAGTGCCAAGTACCTGGTTTCCTCCGTCTGTCCCTTTGTAATGAATGCTCGTCTAGCATAATACCATCTTACAGCGATGTGAATCGTTGCCATGATATACATGAAGACGGAAATTCCAGCGAGGACCTTCGTCTGCCTCCTAGGGGGAACACTGATCAAAACTATGTAATTATCCTGTCAGTTGTGATCTCATTGGGGGAGCTGGGTACGCACGGGTCCGCAACAGTACAACTGCGAGCAACGCCGTATACATCCCTGAGTCATAGTCAGTTCTTTTGGGATATACATTTGAAGATAAGTCACACCGTGTGCTAGGGACTCGATAATAACTGCGTTGAACCAGGAGTCAGACAACTGTGTTGCAGCTGCTTCCATGGGTGAAATGCCTGGGTCGATCTGCGATATGGCGTCAAGCTACTTGTCAGGATATCGAGGGAAGAGAAACTATCTGGCAGTCAAGCGAAACATGAGAGTTTTCTTAAAGCATTGAAGCATTGGTAAGACCGCCATCATTTCTAAGCAAAATAATATTAGACTGGCTATCCTAAGTACAGAAATACAGGACTCACTGATGAGAGCGTTCAGTTGCCAGAGAACGATATCCAGATGCACAGGCTTTGATCTTTTCCTTAGAAATGATCAAAGAAAACCAATCGTACTTTGATGGTGTCGTTTTCTTGTGTAAATTTACTTCATCATGGGCATCTCGGGGATCTGTATCTCGTTGATTCCATTGAATATGACGTTAATGTTGCCATAAGTTCCTGCGGAAGATGAATTCAAAAAGTGCCCTACGTGATCAAAGGAATTCAGTTCGGGAGAATCAAGTTATTAGTAGGCTACGGGAGTCCAAGGCGATGCAAGTCTATTTCCTCCTAACTCAGCTCCCAACACCGAACGTGTTCACTATCAACGGGATAAACATTTGATCCACTCGAACGAACAAATTACCATGATACAAACCTGAAATGATAGACTTGAAATGCTAAATGCATCACGTTTGAAAGTGCTAAACACAACCCGATTTGCAGACGAGTAGTGCCAGTCATGGATCCGACTCGGAGAGCATATACAAGCACTTTACCAATAAATCTAAATTTGTTCTGTAGTAACTTCGAAAATATTATTTTCTTCAAATGCGATGACTTGCCAACCCAACGCCCACAAAGGGAATCCCGGATCTGCGAAATATAAAGGAGGGATTGGTCACATAAACGACCACGTCCATTTGCGCTCGCAGACCTGGTCCAGACAACCTGAAGCATTCCTGGAGAATGAATCTTTCCACCCTGCTCATCGCGATCACCTGTGCCATGGCTGTGGGTATCCAATGCATGCATTGGACTCAAAAGATACTGAAACCATTGACAGACATATTCCTATGCGCTAGCAAATCCTGAACCGTGCGCCACCCAAACCTGCTGGATACCACCATCTAACTCTGAATGAAGATATCAGAGATAATACACAGAGGCATTTGGAACATTTATTAGACTCGTCGTTGGACAGGCAGTCAGATAGATCATTATGGCTACGATATTTCACATAGTGGGTTTCGATTTGTGCATAGCTGTTATATTCCTTAGACTGTAGTCGAGGTTATCATACTATAATCACCAACACGGTGCATCTACACCTGGCACGAATAGCGCACAGTTTATCCCCCGACAACTACGGCAGTAGCGGACATTCTATCTTCTCAAAGAGAAGTGTCGAAAAGAAAAAGAGCGGTATCACCACCACCCGCCGCCCCCGCCTGCTCCAGGTTGCACCTCAAAGTATGCACACTATCGTGGACCTCCAAGAAGGAAACAGCTTCCAGCGTATATTGTATCCAGCACTCGCATCTTTCCCTTCTAGCATCCGGCTTCCACAAATGATTTCCGCGAAACGGCAGAGGACAACCGCTGCCTCGCCCGCTTCTCCACACCAACGCCCTCCTCCTATTTCAGAGGGAGACGAACGCCTCCTCTCCTGAAACAGCTTCTCCGAACAAACGCTCCCAACCCTGCGTGAGCAAGTCTTTTCCTTAGCGACTGCAGTGCATTTTAAGATCCTGGCCTGAGGTTGGATCACTCGAGGGACTGAGAGCCATCCTCCCTCTTCTTATCCTCGTTGCGCAATGATAACCGATTAATCAAAGTCGGATTGTATGACGACGAAGACGCCAAAGTCGCAAGACAGTATGAAACGGGGCTTCTTGGACCGTGACCGGTGCCGGTGCCGGTAAAAGGTGACGTGTCTCTGCTCTCATTTCCTTTCACGTCGGATTCAAGTCCAACATCACTCAGGGTAGCACTACAAAGTTGGTCGGTAGCTTTGGATTTTACCTTTCACGTCTGGAGGTCTGGATGGTTTGTAGTCGAGGAGAGTGCACTGGAGGAGGTATGGAAGGAGACTCGGACGTTCCGCTCGTACTGGGGTAAAAGGTGACTGGGATATTGACCGCTTGCGTTTAATCGTAAACGCTTTAGCGCCATAATATGAACAGACACAACCGAGTTAACGAGCCAAAGGGGCGCGAAGGATGTAATAAACGTAGCACATCTATCTTTGTGTACAGTGAACAGACTCGACTGCCTTCAACAAGCAAAAAGAAAGAGATAGCGTCAAAGCACGACAGCAAAGACGGAAGCCTAGTCGACGAAGCATAGAAATAAGGAATAAGGAAATAGTGTCAAAAGACGAGATCTAGCAGAAAGAGGTTGATAGTCAACTGGTCGCTTCAGTCCCAGAAAATCCGCGATGGTCGTTGTCTCATTCTCGCGATGTAAGTCTCGCCCCAAATGGTCGCTCCGACCGAGGACGATGAAAGGAGTTATGAAATGGCTATCCGAGTAATGGAAAGAGAAATGAAGAAGGGTATGTGCCTATGGATATAGAGACAAAGCACCGAAATTCGAAATCGGCTCCGGAAGCCACAGTTGATAGGGGTAGGTTCTTGTGCTGCATGATGAAAGAAGGACCCGTCTTGTAAATCGGCGAGGAAGGTATTGAGAAAGCAGTAGACCCTTCCTTCGAGCAGGCGGCAGGTGGGAAACAGCAAAGGGAGGGGATGGTAACAACGACGTAGTCCTGCCTCGAAGGATGGTCTTGGTAGGCAACAAACACAGACTAGACTTCATATCAGCGTAACGCACATCCAGAATATGAGGAACCTTATAGGCACAGCTCACTATCCATTCTCTAGGATGCGCTCAAAGCGACGGATGAAAAGAAAAAAAAAATAGAGCGACATCGCCACCATCTGCTACTTTCAAACACGATACGCCCGGAAGAGATGCATCATACTGTCATTCCGTCCCCCTTTACTTCTCCCTCAGTGTTTCCCATCTACTATCACCACCCTGCCCCCTCGCCCACGCATGCCCCCTCTCCTCCAACATTAACGTCCCTTCTTCTCCATATGCCTCTTCCTATTCCTGACGACATCACACCATCCACGTTCAGAGGGTACGGGTGAAAGTCTGCCTTTAAACACTGCAGGATGCCGCTTCCTTCACGTCGGGAGGCTTCGTAGTTGAATACGAAAAGAACAGAAAGATCATCACACGCGGTGCCTCTTTAGCTTTACCGCGCTCGACTCTGTGTGATTGGCGACTGCGCTAACATAACCGACTTAGCCAGCCAAAGGGACGCGCTGGACAAGAAAGGCTACACAAGCAAATGTAGCAAATCACTTCTGTGCGTCAACCTGACGCATCTACATCCACGGTCAACATTACGAAAAACGCACAATTTATCCCCAACGACATCACTCGTACCCTCTCAGTGGCAGACATGATCCTGCATAGCATCGCATTATAGACGGTAACAAAAATATCCTTGTCGCCCGCCCCGAAGGCGCACACATTATCTAGGGTCTGAGCTTTACGATTCTAGAATCAACTCGCTGGACTGTGAATTCTCTATCGTGCATGACGGGGTAACTCGGCAATCAGATCCTTGCATGACGGTTTATACGAGGTAGGAAGATAGTCATTCCCTCGCCCGTTTCTCAGCCGCAAGCCGCACCCTCACCAACCTCAACCTCCGCTCAACATCATCAGCAGCTACTTCAGGGTGAGACGCGCGCCTCCTCTCTTCCAGGAGCTTCCCCAATAAACGGGCCCGGCCCTGTGTGAGCAAGTCTTCCTTCTTTTCCACTGATGACTGCATTTCACGACTCCGGTCTGACTTTGGATCGGAGAAGGTTGGATCAGAAAAGCTATCCTCTCTCTTCCTACTCTCACCTCCCGACGATAACCGGGAGAGTAAAGTCGGACTCGACGAAGTCGCACCCAAATGAGCGCGTAAAGAATCCATAGCGGTACGAGCGGGTTTCTTGGACTGCGGCCGTATGATTTCGGTGACACTAGAGGGTGTTGGTGAGAGACGAGGTGTATCTTCCCTAGACTTGCCCTTCACATCGGGTTGAAGTCCAACATTACTCGGGGTAGCACGAAACGGTTCGTCCGTAGCTCTTGATTTCCCCTTCACATCTGGAATTCTGGACAGTTCAATGAGATCGGTAATCGAGGCAGGTGCGTCAGCTTCCTCGAATATAGTCGCTCGTGCTGCGGAAGGATCCACAGAGTGAGATGAAGCTCTGCTCGCACTGGGATAATGTCGACCTGACGGTGACCAGGATATCGAACGGACAGGAGAGATATCATCTTCGCGCCATCTGCCATCTCGAGGTGATGTCGATGCATCGTCGTGGTTGCAGGGGGTTGGTGATCTGGACCTGGACCTGGACCTCCGGCGGGGGTGCTCGTCTGAGTCTCGCCATCGTCTTGGTCTTGGTCTTGGTCTTGGTGGCGAGCTCACGTGGGGAGGCGTGTCATACTAGTGAAGCAGCTGTGAGTACAGAGAGATATATGGGCAGTGTTAGGATCGCTCACTTGGCCCGCGGAGTCATACACGAACAAGTCCTTGAACGGCGATCGCACATACGAGTAGACCTCTACTTGCTTCAGTAAAGAATGTTCAGCAGGGAGCGACTGCTACTCACCATGTGCGAAGTGTTCTGCCATAACCCTTCCACCCGTATCGATGTCCAAAAATTCCGCCAACAGCTTCACAGCCGACTCAGAGCGTATATCGATAGATTTCATGAGAGATATCGTGAACGCCGTGAAGAACTATGCTCCCGGTTGGCCTCCCACACGACAAATATCCAAGATAAGACACGTACCTCAACGTCAAGATCATCCCACACTCTCAGTTCACGCCGAAGAAACATTATCGTCTTGCTCACCATCTCCGGGCTAGCAGCGAACTGCGCTGGAGTGGGGTACGGCCGGTACTTTGTATACCCATTAGAAGCGACATGCTACGAAAGAGTCAGACGGAACAAGCATGACGACATTGAACGCACCTTGGCATAAAGCCCATGTTCGTACACCCACCGTCGCTTCTCTATCGACCGCTCCAGCTTATCCGCCTCCTCCTGCTGTCGTCCTCCCCACTCCCTTCTGCGCCTTCGTCTACGCACATCGGGTTCTCGTTGCGGTGCAGCGCGTAACGGCAACAGTCCTGGCTTTGACAGAGGCGCCAAATAATGCTTCTGATAATCGTACCGCGACCGGATCCGATGAATCAGGTACTCTCCAATTGTCTGAGTACACAACGGACACTTCCTTGATTGCTCTGAATCATGAATCATCAGCTATATACCCACCATATGCGAAAAGTCGGCTCACCAGTCCAAACGACGAGACAATCAAAACAGAACTCATGCGAGCAAGTAGGGACGACGGTCCGGTCAACGAGGGCTTGTAGGCATATGCTGCAGTTGTCTTCCTCTGCATCTTGGATTTCCGGTGGCGGCGATGGCGACTCGAGCTTGACGCGTTTGCGAGGAGGACTGGAAAAGCTCATGGGCGGGAGCAAAAGGAAGGAATCGACCAGCTGACATCATCACTTAGGGGTTGATGACCAATCTCATTTGCCCGTTCGGAACGGCAGGGTTCGTGCCGGACTCGGGTTACTTCTCGCGATGTTTCTTGCCTGGCTCTGGTTTCGATTTCTGTGCCCCTGCATTTTCTGAATTCTTCTAAATGTGAAAGTGCATCAGGTTGAAGGCCACCTTCAAGCCAAGCATCGATTGCTATTCCGAGGACCCAAATCTACGGGGCGGAGTATACCGAAAACGGCATGTTTGGCACGTCCAATTCGGGATCTCGGCCTCTTGATCGACATCATCATCTCCATACCTGCCTTTTTCCTTTCTTTCGCTTGTTGCATACCTTGTTTCCACTGCGACTTTAAATAACGCCTGCAAGGCCCACATCAGGGGCAAAGCCTGTTACGTTGACCCCTCTTGAAGCCTTGTTCTTTATATAACTATGATGGTTTATAATAAACCAAGCTTATGTATAATTGATTGATCCTGCGAGGTTTACTGGCTATAATTCCTGCAGGAGAGATTGAATCAAGGCTCAAGAGTTATTCAAATCTTGGCTTGTGGAAATAAATCGAAGTTATAATCAATAATAGTTAGCATTCAAAAAATAGTTGTATGAATGAGAGAGTGCTACCCCTCGAAATGATTCACTCAGCGGTGGTGGCTTCTGCTGCTGAGAGAAAAAGACTCGCTCGGTGGCGGCATTCTGCCGCCACCAGCTCGCATTTTCTCTCAGAGTTCAGTCAGAATCCTTGGCAAGATCGGCCGAACAACGCCGCAGAAAGCGTGATAGTAACAGAGGGTCACATGTAAGCAGTGACAAGCGGCGACTGTGCCTAGTGTTTCGATAACGTGACTTGGCGCGGCTCGGCGCGACTCTATTCGGCTTCGGCTTCAACGGCTTCACCAAGTCATAATTTTTGATGGCTTTGAAGCTAAGTTGCCGTCACGCCGCTCCAGCCGGTCAAGCTATGACTTCATGCATTTCCTTTAAATGGAAGCTCATCAGTAGATTTTAGGTAATATTCCAGAAATTTCGGAGAAATTGCGGGAAAAAAATCAAAGTCGACCTAAAATAGCATTTCGGTATTTTTTACTCAAGTCGAAGCTTGGGCAACTTCAAGTCGCGCTAAGCCGCGCCGAGCCGGTACTGTGGTGTGACTTTGCCGAAGTCATTCGGCAACATCGGCGTGACTTAGTTCGGCTTGACTGGCGTGGCGCGCGGCTTTAAGCCGAGTCATCGAAACACTAACTGTGCCACCCCGAAATTCTGACTTAAACGGAAATTTTGAAGCGCTGGGCCGTGAATTTATTCCACAAATAGAAAATTTTATGACATCGGACTTCGGGTTAAACTCAAAACTCGGCTACCACCATCCCTCTATAAGACCTACTACTAACGTAGCAGGAATTTTAGCATGGGGGTGCACTCTCATTTCATGACCTTTTCAATCCGAGCTGATACCTGTGACGTACATACGCGTTCCTCTGGGTTACGGGGTACACAGTTTATTTTTGGTTCACTTCTTGTGGGCTCATGTCTTGTCGCGTAGATCCTCCTCTCGGGAACACCCACCCTCCTATTTCTCCTGATTCCCTGTACCGACCTTACAAATTTGCACCAGACGGAAAAGTGGACGGTGGTCCAGCGTAGGGAAACACCATGGTAGACGCGTTCTGAGAGGGATCGTATGCCCTCCGATTGACGGAGGATGACGGAATACACTCACAGGCGGAATTATGCATAGTCTGCACTCTGACTACGGGTGTCGAGTACTTATATCATTTGTGCAGCATGTTACCCTCCGCACCGTTCAACCCAACATCCGCCGCTTTCAATACCTTATGTGCTGCAGCATGAAACACTTCGCTCGCTACAACCTATTTATCACAAGAGGCGTGGACAGACGACATCGAAAACGGGTACAATGTGGAGGCGAGTCGCGGAGAGAATGTATTTTGCTCAGGTGTCGCGGGCTAGGGAGGGTCCGGAGAGAGGTACGTGGTTTGGAATCAAGCCATTGTATTTGTTGCTAATATCATCGAAGATCAAGACAACGATCTTAAAACCACGCGTCGCTGAAAATTTGATGTTATATCAATATTCCACAGCGGAATTTTATGAAGTATGTTTTGAACTTACATGCGTATATTTAGCTGACTGTTTTTTCAGTAACAATTCTTCAACCTCGTTCTATGTTGTAGAGATAAATTATCGCGTTACCAGTGCTGGTCACAACTCCGACTACGCCTTCATCCTCCTTCGCTGAACCCAGCATCCGTATCCTGGTCCTCACTGGGTGCACACCCACTTAACTCAACGTCACCACCTTCCAATTCAGAATCGTCGTCGATAACCCTGGCCTTAAGGACGCCTTCATTCGAAGACTATCAAGAACATCATGCAAACTCCCGTAGACTTTTAACCGAGTTCAAACATCGGCAGGGTTAGTCAGCGATTTATCTCTTACCAACACGAGTCTTGCGTTTTTGTATAAATGGCGTATACCAAGACGAAACTTCTCTCTATACCTGCCAAGGACTTCTATGCTATCCAGAAGAACAGTATCTCGTGGCTCGTACCGGAGCTGATCGGCATCATGGAGAAGCATGGACAACTCGCACGGCTATCACTTTCTCAAGCGCCTCACTAAGTGTGGAAACATCACCAATGGCGGCGGCAATCATCGCCTTACCCGACGGAGGTGTATATACGCAACGAGCGATTTTCTTAACTAGAGTTGCCAGTACGAGTAACCTAAGCTCTAGTTCTCGACCTTTTGACCACTCAGAGAGCAGACGACACTGCGATGTGAATCGATTCCTCCCGCAGGGTTTCGGTTGGACTCTGGCCGGGATTCGCACACACCAACTATCGGAGGAGGATCAGCCGCCTAGAAAGGACAGAAAGGGGAGTTGGCTGGTGATGATCTCAGCCTCGGCCTTGGTGCTGTCGCATTTTATATCATGAATCGTACCATTCCAATCCTATCAAACGAGAAGCGCACCAAGGTGGCGCGATGATGATCTGATATCACTCGTCTCTCGCAAACCAGCATCAACTCTCAGCATGTCTTTGGATCGGATGCATGGTGAGACAGAAATTTTGAAAAGTACATGTCTGCATGCCGGTTATGCACAGGAGAGAAATTGATAGATTCTATACAGTACGTTACCTCCTCCGGCTAGCGTCATGCGCTCCTACCTTATACCTGTCGCTCGGTACCACCCACTTATCAGACAAGGCAAAGATGGACAGGTTAGGAACGATCGAATACGAGTATATCGGCGAAGGTCATTCACGGGCTTGGGAAGAAACGCCTATTGTGCACTGAAATCCTAGCCTTTCGTGGCTTATGACATTTGTACAGCGTCAACGTCAGGATCACGGCGGTGTTCGATTTCACGGAGGAATGTTATCGTGTCGTGTTCTGTTTACCTGCTTTCTACACTTAATGTCGGTCTGAACTATGCTCGACGATATCTTCTGCAATGGAAACATCGTCGTGGCTTTATCACTGAGAGACCTTACGCCTGCCTGCCTGCCTGCCTGGTCAATTGTGGAGGTACCATCATTTGAGCCAATCATCCCACTGTTCCATCCCTCGTGATTTATGTACAGGTTTACCGCACTCTTATCGACACCCCTCCCATAAATTGGGAACTTCTGTCTTAAACCGCGGTGTCTCATATACATGCATCTCGATGTCGCTTCGGGATATACGACGCTCTCAGCAGCTTTTCACCTTACCATACGTACGCTTCAGCATTTCTGGGGAAAATGGCAAGTCACGTCAACGAATATCGTCGAGAATTCATCGTATAGACCAATACACACTGTCTTTAGTAGGGCCTCCTCTTTTTATACCACTCAACACCAATACGGGTGTTGTATTCTCCTTCACCTCGTAATCTCGACCACAACCCCAGTTATGTTCAAACCATCCCTTCGTATTTGACCATTTGACCGAAAATGCTGGGTATCACTTTCTAGGAGGAAATAGCATGCCACGATGGCCTGAGGGATAGATGATGAACCGACTCTTTGGTTCCCGATGAGCTGTAACTGGAAATGTCCCTAATGTCGGTAGGACGACACCATTCACTGTCTGATTACAATAGAAGCACTCACAAACCAGTGGACTATTCTCGCGAGAACCATGGAGAATCATGGAGTGCCCTGTGTTCTCTTGATCAGGCGTTTTTTTATCGACGACATCGCATCATTACAAATAGAAGCGCTACCTATGATTCATGCTATAAGTCTCGATAATCAACTAATAAATGCAACGATACCGGCGGTGTAGACACCTTTCTTCCCTTGCAAGCAATGTCAATCTCTGGTATTTTCATGTCTCACCGATCATGAAAGAAGCACTTGACTCGAGATTACTTGGCAAAAGTGAGTTCACAGAAGTACAGGCACCATCAACACAGCGTCGTGCTGTGTAATTCTGACAGGCGATGCCCATCAGCCACAGCTCTGTTGATTCATGCGATACGGTTTTCAGCACTATAAGACCACAAGTCGTATTTGCATAGGTATCTAGGCGCTTACAGCGAGTTAAACTTGTATCGAGCCAACGTTCCTCTGTTTCTGGAGCAGATACAGGGCTTATATTTTCCATCCTTACATTACTCAATGCATCTCCCACTTTTGCCTCGCGACGATCCAGTCGTATGCGATCCAAACACACGCACTGTATGGAGCATTCTATGGAGTTGTACTGCGACCATCTTTGCATGCACATGGGTCTCCGTTCATCCTAACGTTCCCGGGCCCAAGCTCATCGCCCATGGATGGTTCGTTCGGGGCATGCAGAGATTGAAGCTGATGCTTCTCGCTATCTTCTGTCCTGAAGCGATGATTATATGGGCTTTTCGTCAATGGTTCGTTGCGCGCAGCGCTAAACATTGTATGCTCCCTCCTGGCTTATGAACGAAATCAAGAAGCTCATATTGTCCCCCAGACCACCTTTCAATGACACATGGTTTCTTCTTCAGCATGGGAGGATTCATCGACATGAAAGGGTGCATTGCAGAATGGAAAGACCTTCAGATAATTGCACCTGCTGTCTCAGATTTCAAGAAAGAGGAGCTTCTGGACCGAAGCAAAGGCGATGCTTTATCGAAACTAATCTCCCTTCTTCAAACAACTTGGTTTATGGCATATTATGCTGCTAGAGCTATCCAATCTCTTCCCATTACCCAACTCGAAAGCGCGACACTCGCTTTCACCATTCTTAATTTCGGCAACTACATCTTATGGTGGCACAAGCCGATGAATGTCGAAGTCCCAGTTCTACTAAAAGGTTTCGATTTTTCCCGTTCACAGTTTGGAGATAGTCTCGTCGAAACTCCCAGCTACAATAGTGAACAATGGGATGCTGCAGATGAAATGGCGGTTATAGCAACGATAAATCAAACCACGACAAATGAGACTGAAAGTTCCCAGGTGCGCTATAATCACTTGATCGCAAATATCTTCACACCATGACCATAGTCATAGTGCACCCGTGAGACATTGTGTTTCCAGGTTATGCTTACTGCGCTTTGTGCCATGGCAAAACATGTAGACATCCACTACGGAGCATTCATTGGTGCAATCATCATAGGCCCAATGGATGTCTCTCATATGTTGTGGGATGGCTGCGCACGCAGATTTGGCAACCTTGGCCCCTATAAAAGACTGTACATCTTCTATTTTGGAGCTTTGGTTGGTGCTATTTTCGGGGGAATTCACTGTATTCCATGGAATTCCGATTTTGGCTCATACACAGAACATTTACTTTGGAGGATTTCTGTGGTAACAACTGTATGTGTACCTTTGTTTTTGGCCACTCATACACATGCGATGGCAAATTTTTATATTCACATGACTCCATCTTTTGGATTATTAGGACATATTTTGACACAATTATACATATGTGCCAGAGTTTTCTTACTTGTAGATATTTTCCTTTCACTTCGTTCACTTCCTCCTGCTGCTTTTGAAGATGTTGATTGGACCAAATATATCCCACACTTATGATTGAATTTCACATATTACTATGTTTATGGACACTACCACTTCGTTCTTGCACTGCATAAAGAATGGACAGACATTACAATATTCTACAACCTGAGATACTCAGTAATGTAGTGTTCACATTTGATGGAAGCTCTAACATCTCAGACCAGCAAAAAATTGAATTAGTGACATGACTGGAAGAATGACATATGCACTGAATTTTCATGGCATATATTGCAGAAGGGAGATCATGCCAGGGGACTATTTTTTGTTTTAGGATTACCACAAGGTTATAGCTGCCATTGAATAATAGATGGATTGAGATGTCTCCCTTGAACAATTGTCATAGAAAATCCTTCAACGCAACCACAAAACAGTCCCAGCTGATGTCTAGCTCCGAATCTCCCGATATGCAGGATAGAATGAGCACATATGCAAGTAATTTGTATGATAGAACTGACTCGAATGTAGAGAGTATCATCATCCGATTATCGCCTAATGGAATCATACAGTGGGAACCACCTTTACAATAGGATTTGAACCTGAAAACACGATTTAGTATAATTTCACTTAAAACGTTGGAAGGAGTTACGATTGGAGCTTCAGATGGAACTGATTCCAGATCCGAAAAGTTCTTAAAATTTCCACCTCAAGAGATTGATTTCTCATTCGGTTTCATCCTCCTAGCCAAACCTGCTATCAATTGTCGGACGTATAGACGGACCCGATTGTTACACGTCAGAGTGAATCTATTTCAATTCGGTTGCCTCCCTAACCTTGACCCACACGGTTTCTTCCTGACCGACTGGTCATTCTCCTATTTTTTAAGTAGATTTTTCCCTATCTCTCTATGAGAAATTCGGACGTGACTGGTTTCTAAATCACACCTAAACGGCACTTTCTCCGCGATGTCGAGTTAATAGGCATGCATGCAGAACTGCCTTTTCGTTTCCGATTGTTGCCCTGTTCAGACGGTGACAGTTGCCTCCTTCTGAGATGTACTACACGCCGTCGCCATGATAAAGACGACGACACACTTTGTCATTGTACCCCATAACCCAGCCCGCCTTGCAACCTCATCACCCTATTCCCTGGGTAAAGCAACCGGCAAGTCGTCGATGCTGGGTGAGATCCCTATGATATCTAACTGCATGTTATCTGTGAAAAAGCAAAGAACGGAGCGAACGTACTCAGATCCTAGGAGATTTAAAGAGTCGTTGATCGGACATAATCACCGATTCCTTGTCTGAAGAACAATATAAGTCGAACCGTCGACGACTCATAGTGAACGCATGCCTCTAATACGCCATATGAAAGGCAGTGGAAACGGCTCAGAAACCACGGTTCAGATAAAACACGCCGGAGAGCAAGTACCTGGAGTTTAGAGGTAAAGGACGCGCTAAGAGGTTCACAGAAAACCTGAGAAGAAACGGTATCAGAAGGAAAGATAATACAAATTCAGGAAGGAAGGTGTGCCAATGACGGGCAGCCGTTCCCTCAGTTTACGAGAGCGAATGGGAAAGGGCTCGTCAGCATAATCCTGAAAAAAGAAAGCGTGCTTGTCGATTGGGAATAAAATATAGGGAGTAAGCCAAAGCAAGGGCAGGAACGTTGTCTCTATTGGGGATAGAATTGATATGTAGATCGTCCAGTGAGGCTGGTTAGCGGGTCGGCGTGAAGGACTAACGTCTCTACCGTAACGGTTGGTATCTGTGGTTTCAAGCAAATACCCGCGACTGCATACCCGTGAACAATGAAGACCGATGTAAGAAGGAATGAAATAGGTCGCACCCTTCATCGGACGTGATACAGAATATGAGGTGAGCGAAGAAGCAGATAGGTGGAAGCTATAGCAAAAACGGACGTACCTTGCCTATTCCCACTCCAAAGCATCGAGGAATCAACGAAAACCCCAACAACAGACATGCAAACTGGAAACAAAGATTATTTCGCTCAGTCGAAAGCCGAATGGGTTTGAGCGTGTAAAACATGAGACCCAGGGGACAAATAAAATAGCTCAAAGGAAAAAGGAAAGTCAAGTGAAAAGGTGGCCACAGACCGTGCTCGAGAAAGGAAGGTGTAACGATACGAGACAGGCTATTTAATGCATGTCCGACAGCGCCGTGTACCAACTAGCACTTCATCGGTGCTGGTTAGTCGTATTAGTGACGAAAATATGTCATGAACAAGACACAACTCACTTCAAAAACACAATGTGCAGTCGTCGGTTTAATAATATTTGCACATCCTGCGACCGAGGAAGCCGGAAAATGAACATAAAGTATCCGACTCACCGTTGGCTAGTAGATTATTCAACCACCTGACCGGAACGGTAGGATGGGAACATCGAACTGGGCCATAGTCTCAATTCCAGATGTATAATTCATCAATCTAGTCTTCCGACTCTGTAGGAACAGGTGATGAATTCGAGCACCGCTTCCGTGAAAACCAGACCCCAGCACAGTCTTTGAACAAACCATAGAAGACATTTGCCAGTATGAAGCCTGAAGATAGAACCGAAAACATATCAGAATGCTATATTGGAGAGCGATGTTTTGACCTATCTTTGCGTTAGTGGACATGCGCGGTCCTTTGGCAATGCGCCGTAATCGCCTGATCAAAGTGAAAGGAGCAGAAGGTCACCGGACCGATGTTCCGCAGAACCGGCATGCCGCGTCCTCGGCTCTCTCTTCATCTCCACCTTCCTTCCTCTCGCTTCACGTTCCGGTAGCGTCCTTTCCAGGTGTTCTTTTCGACTCGTGCATCCATGTTTGATGACGACTTCAATGGTGGAGAATCATGATGTACATACTTATGCGTTCCCTTGGGGTTCATGGTACGCGGTCTATTTTTACTTTTCTTCTCGTTAGCTAATTTCTTCTCGTTCGCGTAGGTTCTCTCCCTCTCCTTCCTTTGAAGGACTACCTCAGCCATACGAAATTGTGCCTTAGGGTTTCGGTGAGCGGTATGGAGGGACATACCGTTGATGACTGCCATGGTAGACGTATATTGAGGAAGGATCTACCTATTCCTATGCGACTCTTCCGACCGAGTCCAGCCCGATAATCTGACCACATATATCCTCATCATGACTAGCGACTATGCAGCTGGGACTTGTCGGGACACGAACACGACGGCATTCAGAGCAAAAAGACGGTATCGGCTGAACATTTATAACCAATATCAGCACTGGATGGAAAGGCCTAGTCATCAAGGCGATGGATCTGTTGTCGATGTGTGGCGTGTTAGTAGTCTATGTCCGTCTCCGCATTATGATCTTCGGCGTCGTGGGCTAATCCTATTCGTGCAGCGTCACCATCAGTGCGCTCAAGAATGGCACGTCTTGCTCGCTGATGTCTGTTTATCGCAGAATGCCAGGATGGAAACGTTGGGAGCATCGAACATGCCTGCAAGTAATAGCGAAGCACGTCGGGGAATGAATGTGCTTTGATAGAGCGCCGTGTGATAGTCAGGGTCCAGAGAGAGGTATGTGTAGCCTTAGAAGTTACATCGATCATGTACGTCTGCCAATTCGGTGTACTACAAATCTTTGCACGGAGGAATGTTACGAGATATGCTGTCCAAGTCCTCTCTATGCATCTTTGGCTAACTGCTCCTTCAGTTCATCGACTTCACACCCCAGTGATCGTGAAACTCCGCAGGTCTGGCCTCGTCCTCGTCACCGGTGCCGGGGAAGGTTCGAGCTGAGCCACCATTCTCTCCTTTGCCGAATCCAGGGTCCACCGACCCGCCCTCGCTGGATACACTCCGGACCCACACCATGCCGCCTCCCACTAGGATAAAAATCATCCCCAAGAACCCCGACTTTGGCGTCCCTGTCGTCCCTACCAAAAGAAGTATTGAGGAATCCGTCTAGATCCTCATGAAGACCGTCATAAACTATTTTGGACGAATCGATTGTTTTGTTAACGTCGAAGGTCAGTCTGCGAGTTCTCTAACCCACCCAAGTCTTACCTTTTTGTATAGACGATAGGAACACGAACTAAATTCTCCTCAATACCTACCGATGACTGGATTTTACGAGAGCGAATTACCATCAGGGAGAAACAAGAACGGCTCATCGCACTTAAGATCTCTCCACCCAGCGGCATCTGCACTGCTTGTCATCTTTAGCCAGAACCACAACGTACGTTGTATATTCCACCTTTTTTCGTCTGCGACGGGCAACTTGAGGGAAGTAACATTCTGACTGTACGTCGCAGTACATTGTGAACATCCTACTGAAAATCAACGAGTGGAAGCGGTGGTCCAACCCCCTGGTAGAGCACCAATGCATCGTCGTGCTAAGCGCGGCAGGGGCTATGATTTCCTTACCCGACAGAGGAGGTGCATATTATACACATGGAATACACGGCAAATGGCTTGACCAAAGTCATACGTGCGTGTTCTTCCTTCTAATCCTTCCCTGTTAATAATCCACCTTTCCTCTCAGACTGAGACCACAGCATCCATTCTCCCCGTGCACATCTAACCTTACCACCACACCTCGAGGCCAACGAGACTGTGGATGTCATCGTTTGGATGGGTTCAATGAGGAACGGATCCATGGCAGAGAGAAGCGAGTGTCTCGGTCGATGGAGGCCAGCGGAGTAGATTCTTGGAGTAGCATTGTTCTTCGGGGTGTTAACATGAATCAGGAATAGACCATCTTCGGCGATATTTCCTTGAAGCCTTCACCTCGAGCTAAAGGACTTGACCTTCCCAACCAAGGAAGGATCTTCGTCACTGTTCGGCCCCAATCGCCTCCTTACAACTATCCATTCTGTTCTTTTCTTGGCAGTAAACCTCCTTCCCGCCCCCCCTCCCCATATCTGTTACAAGCATCGTTCTCTGTTTCGATCTATCCAATGTCATAGGTGATTGACCCAGGGAAACTGGCATCAATCCTGACCGATGCACGTTAATAACATATATATGCGTCGCTGATTCGAAGGCATGTAAGGTTTCCTCAGCTTGACATGATGTCATCTACGCCATTCCGGATTCCACTGATCGAGTGGCCCAAATACGATCCGTTTAGATATATACGCACGACTGTGTTGTGACTGGACCTAACTACAAGGGTCGGGAATGTAAACCGCTGTCAAGGAATGGAAGGTGCATCATCAGAGGCCAATCGGCTATCAGAGCTATTGTAACGCCAGGGGAAAAGACATCTAACGGCGGTCTTGACACGACGCTTCCAGATGTTACTTCCTCGTGCTGGTCTATGAGGCGACTTTATGCAGAATTATATTCCTCAGCAAATATGAACGGAAACGAAGGATCATTACGATGAATTCTCGGCATTTTTGTCGTTTGTGGTTACATGCAATTTTAAAATCATACACCTGTGATGATGCGCCATTTCCTCCGAACCGGTGTAGCAGCCGGGAGAATTCTGATTGAATTTTCTACGACCATCGACCTTTTGCAAGATAGCTGATGTACATTGAACTGCTGGTGCACTGTGTACGGGTAAGTATAATGGATCGGGATTTCACCGACGCTGGGTGGGCACGACTGAGATTGGCGCCGTCGTTGCTGATAGAAGAGCTCCGTACACAACAGGAACCTGATGTTGCTCCATAGTCGTACTTTCCGCATTCATACATACTTCGAAGCTGTCTACCAAGAAATACTCTGCAGTCACTTCTCTGATCCACCACTAGTGGCGTCTGTGATCGTCCGTCAAAGTGATACATTGCACTGCCTCGTTTGCTCCTGCATGTTTCGTTTTAGTCTACTACTATTGATACGTTCACTCAAGCGGAATGGAATCTGACCAAATATCTTTCGCTAAGTGTCAGGAACATCACTAACAACTGGTTACTTTGTTGGTGAGTACTTGATTCAATTATTACGGTACGCGTTTTGCCACACCTTGACATGCCGGTCTTCATTTGACAGAGATCTTATACTCTATTATGATGAACCCGCCATTATATTTTTACGTTTGCTGCAATACTGAGTGTTCGACAAAACGCCAGGGCTAGCCATCCGCCACACTAATAATATCTCTGAACGGTGGAAGTATGTCACACATGTGCTTATAATTACGGTAGAGCTCGCGAAGCAAGAAAGAAAGCCACTGTAGAGCCGTCACCAATTAGAATTATTTTCGAGGATAGGAAGGACAAGACGCGGGAGGTAGACGCCTTCAGAGAGGAGGTGGACCTGAAGACCCTAGGGCTCGAGGTAAATGTGATAACATAAAAAAAGAAAGAAAGGGGAAAACATACGTATCATAGAACCATGGACACAAGACTCGAAACTCTCGAAATATATACAGAATTACTTCCTCCTTCTTGATAGATGTAAAAAAAAACTGGCATCGAAGCAGGCCATGTGGCCAAACGGATGACTTGGCCATCACCACCCTTTTTTCAAAATTACCATGACTCACAGTTCGAACGTACCTCTCTCCGTCTTAGCACGCAAAATCAAGATGGGAAACCAGGCAATAGAGTATGTTCTTGGTTATCTTGGATGTAGCAGAAGGTGAAGCATAATTATGTACCTACTCCCTTTCGTTTCCGCGGCCCATATACCACTTCAGAGATCACTGTTTCGCTATGGACCTATGAGATATCTCATATTCCTGATGTGATCCATCATTCGTGCGTCCTTCAAGTCGATTCAAACGTTCCATTTGAAAGTCTAGACTCGCATATTGCCCTCACTGCTTCCGTCGGGTTTTGTTTCTTTGTCGAACTGAGAACTCAACGTTGTGGCGTTTCCCAAAACTGAAGTAGTATGTTCATGACCAAAGCTTATAAAATCCGTAGAATAATGTGATATTAGATGCTTCTGTTCGGAGCCTTCTTCCAACGAGCTGACATCTTACACGACCACGAGACTATCCCCTAGCTAATTACTGGCTTCCAATAATACAGTTGGAATAGTCCCTCCAAGTACACCAGTCCGCACGTCCCTAGGATAGTGATGAGCAATTCAGTCACAAAATGGTGTAAGGACAAGCATGAGTAACTAACTTCTGCTTCTGAGAAGATGCAAATGCCACACTCTCAATAATCCCCAGGGATGTTTTGAACCCATCGTGTCACCTGAGGTGTTATCGAAAGCTATATAATCCGTTAAAAATTTGCATGGATCTCCTAGTCGCCTCTCATGCTTAAGAGCCTCTTCATTGTCACTTGCCTCTTCCTCTTAGGTGTCCACACCTTACCCACGGAGCTGTCCAATGCTACTGCGACATGGAACGCTACAGCAACAAAGATAGTGGAACGCACCACACCTACCTTTACGCTTGACTACAGAAGATACCCCCAATCGTGCGAGAACATATGCCAGTCTACTTCTTTATTTTCCTATGCGTAACTTGACATTGACTTGATCACCAGGTTTTTCTTGGTTCTGTACATTTACTCCTGCTCTCCCTTCCCTTGACTCGACCTCTGACGCCTCGCCGAGACAGGTCACAACGGGCCTCGCTCAGTAGCTCCTAACCGCCCCCAAGCATCTGACAATCGTGCTAGCAACAGTTGCGGTAAAGTTGACCCAAACCGGGCAAGAAGAATTCTGCGTGGTAGCCTGCGTGGCTGCGTGGCTGCGTGGTGCGTGGTTGCGTGGTCGTCAGCGTGGTTGACAAATTGCGGGGCTCCCATCAAAAGTTGATCGAGTCCATCAAACACGACTCGAGAGTCGACGTATTCCGTTCTTTTCTGTCAATCCTCGCATAGAATCAGTTTGATTGTCAATACCTGTAAGATTTAAATATGACAGCTTTGGTGGGATTTCGAAATGCTTCAAAATATGGTCAATATCATGAAATTTTCGAACTGGATTGTGAAGTTTAAGAAGATCAAATGTATTCTAGCTGAAGTAAACAATTTTACGGGTATCCTAACAGTATGAAAAGGCCTTAGAGGTGGTCTGCTAAGCTATAAGTAATAAGGCACACAATGTGGGGTTCCCAGTGAAGAGGATAACATGAGAAGGAATATGGATTTCTATATTTGATGTGAATGACACTGAAGAAACAAGCCAATCAAGAGGCAATTATATGAAGGATGTACTTTCTGAGGGTAACCTTATATGGGCTGGCGTGGTCTCTATGTGAAGCCTGCGTGGTGCCTGCGTGGTTGCGTGGTTAGTCAGCATGGCTGTGCGTGGTCAGCCTGCGTGGTGTGGCTGCGTGGCTGCGTGGTTGCATGGCTGCGTGGTACGCAAGCGTGGTTGGTTGCGTGGTCCAAGGTATACCCGTACATAAAGAAAGGTTGTTCTTGTGGAAATTAAATGATCGGTTTGGTGGTATTGGAGCAATCAAGGAACAATTGATGTGAAGGCAACGTTGAATTGATGTTCATAGTGTTGCGATATCTTTGGATTAATAACTTCAAGCTAGCAAAATGAGAGTGTACCTAATTTTCGATATTTAACCTTCTTATAATCCTAAATACACTCATGGAAGATACAATGGTACCTAGAAATCGAGATTTGAAGGTTTAAAAACTCTAATTGGCGGAATTTAAGCTTTGAAATATTTTTGAACAAAGATCTATTTGTTGCAAACAATTCACCAATGAATAAGAAATAGATAAAAGGATATGTTTAGAGAAGCATTCTTATCATCACACAGTATATATGTACTGTCAAGGCAAGTTCAACTCAAGTTCAACTAATGACTTGCGTGGCGTGCGTGGCCATGCACCACGCACGCGTGGTACCACGCAGGTGACCATGCTGAATTTCTAGTGCCCGACCCAAACCGGTGCAGCACACGTGTACATGGTTTTCCTGTCTAGGTATTGTACAAGGAAAATTAATACATTTATCAGGCGCACCATTCCCATGGGTACCAGTGCGATGAATGGCCTTGGGTGAACTCTAACGCCGGGGGTGCCAATGTCGTTATGAGATGCATTCCTGGTTCTGATAACGGGGGTGAGTTTCTTTGCTTTGTGTACTTTAAATTTGAATTCACAATCGAACTCGTTTGTTTCCCCGTAGGATCTGGTGCCCAATGGGGGAATTTCATCAATGTACATCTCTGTTTCTGGTAGTATGAGACTAGGTAATAAATAACCTCCTGGTCATGCACAGAACAAAGGCCCTCAAGCTGTTGGATATGCTTTAAAAGATAACATTGACGTGAGTTTATTCTTTCTCACCTGTTCAAGTCCTCTTTCTAAAGCTCGCCTAGTTTGCTAAAATCGAGATCAGCCATGTCCCAGTGACTGCGAAATTCTGCTTGGGAGTGCTTGGAAGTAAGTTGTCGTCACTGTTTATTTCATCAGTCCTGAGTCATTCATTATGAAAGCGACTATCAAGGCAACGACGTGCAATCAGCTTGATCGTGGTCAGCCATTTTTGCAAAGGATTGGTTGAGGGTAACTCCTGCAAAGGATTGGGACTACCACAATTTGATACTTTGCTGCTTCGGACATCTGTTAATTTTCCTTCGTACCTTCCTATAACGCTGCCGATCTTTCTTGTGACCACAAACTTGGATTGAATATAAAATAAGAATGTTTCCTTGACTTGAACTAACATGCAACTATTGAAGCCTTATAGGAACCAGAGCCGTACAACGCTATGCAGAGGATAATATGCCTTGATACTCTGGAAACATTCGCCCTTCCAATTCTTTTTATCCCTGTTGGTATCAGTTGGTCACTATCTGATTTCCACGTTCACAAAGTCTAATCGAAGAGTTGAGAATTCCGCGTTCATACGATGAATCAACGGTAAAAGAATCCGCAGAGGATTGGTGCCTTGAACAGAATTGTTTCCGGAGCTAGGAAGTTCTTGACGGTTCCACCGCCGGGGTTGACTCGTCGGTCAGTGCCATCCTCCCGGCCCAATCTGGCACCACTGGGTATTGGGGTTTTTATGAGTTGCAGGACGCACACTTGGACCTCATAGTTACACGTCATAGTGAATCTATTTCAATTCGGTGACCATGTTCTTCTTTCCCACCCTTGATTCCAGTCCGTTCTTCCGACTCACTGACCGGGCATCCTCTTGTTTTGCGAGCTGCATGTTCCCTATTCCTATGTGAGAAATTAGTACGTGACTCGTGTCCAAACCGTACCCAAATGGCACCTTCTCCATGGCGTCGAGTGAATGGACATGCATGCAGAAATGCATTTTTGTTTCTGATTGTTGCCCTGGTCTGTCGGTGACCAATACTTGCTTGCTTCCAATATGTACTACAAGCTTCCACCAAGAGGAAGACAGCGACCGGCAGTCTGTACTGTGCTATTGTACCCTGTACCAATCCTGCCTGCCACCCTCGCGATCTCGTTCAAGCTCCCCGCTATATTCCTACATCAGAATTTGCAGGCTAGTCCATCTCGATTCAGAAAGATCGAATTCGAAAGATGTGCTACGACCAGCTTATCCTCAGTTATGGACTTTTATAAGAGAATTCTGCGTGGTATCCGAAAGAGGTGCATGGCAAGATTGCATTTTGTGGATATCACTATTGGGTGTCCATGCGGCGTGTTTGTAAGGACAAGGATGCTCAATTTGAATATATAAGTTTTCACCATTGTCCACGGCAACATAACAAGTGTCGCAGACCCTTTCTGTGTGAGGTACTCCAACCCATCACGATAGATAAATTAAATCCCGTTCGCCATAAAATTTTAATTTATCTCATGAGACTTGAAACCATCGCCATACAATAGATCCATTTAAGCACGGAGAGCAACCCAAAAAGAGAGAACGAATACGACTGGCAGAAATCAATGAAAAGAAATGAAAAGTGGAGGAAATGACTAGGAGAACCAAAGCAATTGGACAGCTCTCGATACGGGGCGAGGGTCCCCATCACGACAAAGAAAGGATGTCCCGAACGTTCTCAGATTGTTCCAATACTTGGAACTGCAGTCCTTGTGTACTTGAAAGAGTCATTGATCAGCCGTGTCATGAAGTCCTGGTCTAATAAACTGTTGGCGACTTGAATGCCTACCTCCTCTCAAATACAATCGAGATCGCTGGATAAAATGCAGTAGGAATGGCTCGTACACCGCATTGCACTGCAAAACATGTCAGAAAGCGAGTCATCTTTCGTCATGCCTGGTGAAATGACGGACTAAGCAGTACATAGAAACCTGAATGCAAATGATACCTGTACTGTAGTGCCGTGCCAGCTCGATGATCTCATTTCGAACGAAAGATAAATGCAAATGATAGGCATTCACAAGAACAAATTGGGAAAGACGATACAGATGGGGCCAGGAGAATTTTGCGAGTGACACTTGCAAGCTTGCGTTCAACTCAAGTTGAACTGCATTTGCTTGTGTTTAACTTGCATGCATTTGTGCGCATATGGATACCTTTGTTTGTGTTTCATACAAATAATTAGTTCTGTTTTAAAGTCACTAGTAAAGTGTGTCTTATCTTGAACATTTACTTACTCTTTCCGAGTTCCTGGATATGTCCCACCAGGTTAATGTCACTTACTATGACTCAGGGAAGCCATTGAATAATATTTTAATGCTAGAAAGGTATCTGTGTTCGCTACAAAAAAAGCTCCCTCCATCACAGCGACATTTCACTTCGAAATGACTATGAGATCTGACCTTTTTTTGAACTTGGCAGGATGAACAGGTTCTCAAATGAATAAACCTTGCTTATGTATCTCACAAAGATGTCACGCATGCATCCCACAGTCGAATGCAAGCCTTAAGAAGATGCACACATGTGTTCTCAAAAATAATGCATGCGATTGGAAATTAAACACATGCGAGTGGTAGCAGCTTGCAATTGGCTCGCAAGTGTGATGGATGTGTGACATCATGTAACATTTGCGTTTGACTCGAGTTGAACCGTCTTAACTGTTGGTCGCTTCTCATATTTCTGCGGCATGTGTTTCCTGTCATTATATCTTGGTTCTTTTGATATTTTTATGATGCTTACTGTATTGAACTTAACCTTCTCTGGCCCACGACCACTGTTTGGGTTCTCTTCTTTGGGTTGTCTTGAACTCCTTCCTGTGAGTCTGTCCGCATCGTACCTCAATTTTCTTCGGATTATACTCTACATCTGGACACTCTGGAATGTATTATTGATCTACTAGAATCTCAAGTTGAATAATTACTCTGGAACTCAATTTTTTGGCTCTTGATTTTGGACTTTGAACTTTGAGGGAGGATTACCTCAAAAGAACCTTCAATGTTGTAATTGTCGGCAAAGGGTATTATATCATATTCATCTAGAAACACTGGCTAACGTCTGCCACTATTTTTAGATAAGAAATTCTGAGACAGTTCTTTGTCACGCCTGCAAATGCAAATGCAAGTGTGACAATGCATGCGAGAGAATGCCAACACACACTCACAAGTGTGCTCACAAAATTCTATGTGCCCATACAGATGACAGTGAGCACTAGAAATTCAGCATGGTCACCTGCATGGTACCATGCATGCATGGCACATGGCCACATGGGCCACGCAAGTCCTTAGTTGAATTTGAGTTGAACTTCCCTTGACTGTACATATATACTGTGCTATGATAAGAATGCTTCCTTAAACATTTCCTCATATCTATTTCTTATTCTTCTGTAAACTGTCTGCAACAAATGGACCTTTGTTCAAAAATGTTTCAAAGCTCAATTTTTTGTCAATTAAAGCTTTTATGCCCTCAAATCTCAGATTCCTAGGCTCCATTGGATCTTTTATGTGTCTATCTATGATTATGAGAAGGATAAATATCAAAATTTAGGTACTCTCTCATTTTGTCATGAATTCACCCCTATTTTTCGCTTTATCTTATCTTATCTCAGCATCATGGCAACTTGTCATTCGACTCTTGTCATCATTCCTTGTACCTGATCTGCATCATTCATGACCTGCTTGGTCACACCACCCACACGCTTTGACTCACACTTCACACGCATGATCCGTTTGATGGCCCATAGGTCCGATCATACTTCCATGGGCCCTACCCTTGATATTCCCTCACGCTTCGTGGGTCGACACAAGTCACACCCCAGGATGGATAGTGCGCCACGTACACTCCTCCGAAGATAGCACCACACGGGTGCTAGTCTTCTGATGCACTAGCACGCTTCTACCATATCAAGCACCATATGGACGCTAGCCTTCTTACTCACATAAGTGCTTCCCCTATACCAAGCACCATATGATACAGAAGACAGCAATGCATTAGGACAGTGCAGAGTACACACCGAGACACAGGAATAGTACATACTAGTAAATACCACAATGTATTTAGTCAAGCCTTGCTGTGGCCTTACACCCCAGCTTTGGCTAAAGTTATACACTCCTAACTTTTCACGCAGAAACTCCCTGTTTCATGCCTAAGGACTATCGTACCTTACCTAGCGATTGCAACGCCCTCTTCACAACTGAATCACCGAACGCGAGTGACAGTTTAGAGGCAACCGTTGTTCAATCCAAGTTAGTGCATTACAATTAGCCGAAGCTTGTATTAATACCCTCATTGTTGTTCAACGACGGTGACCATATTGTCTTGCTTGATTGCTGTCACCAACTCGCCAGCAACAACACTTCTATAAACCCATACCCTTCAAAGCACTGACCCCCACGAAGTGGGCGAGTAATGGGCTCTACCTTAAACTGCCCTTGTCATTTTCATTAACAGAACAACCACAGTATCTGGAGCATTCAAATAAAGGAACCCTTGTCGTTATACGACGAGTCCTCGGGGTTGCTCACCCCTACAGAAATATTTCATACTCTCATCCTTGTTCAAACAACGGTGACCGTATGAACCCAATAGGCTCTATCACAAGCCGAACCCACATCCTGGAAACCTTACTATCTCTAGTAAGGCATCCCTTGCACCGCAGCACCCAATCCTATCCACGACCATGAGATGGATCAACTCCCATTCGCCCCCTCACAGGGGGAGACCACCGAGTTCAACCTAACGAGTCAGAATGGGACTTCCAGGCCCAACACGCTGGAAGCCCACAATTCACAGGTGGATACTGGGAGGATATCTGTGGATCCTGGGATGATCCTGATACCCCCTTCGCCACCAATGTCGAACAGTTCTACACTGACGAGTACAACTGACTCATCAACATACGAACTCTGGAGGGGTGCAATAGAAGCGCTGCCAAAGGAACAGAGTGGCAAAGAACCACCTTCGAAGGAATCGACAACTCTTTCCTCACTGCCCAGGGAGTTGATCAAGAAGGTGGACAAACCACAGTTGAAAGAACAGACGCAGGAGGACATCGAAGAGATGAATCTCCGGAGTCATTTGGAAAGGCCGGACCCATGCTCCATGCCTCAGAGCTCGGCGGGGAAATCTACTCCCCCACTGGAACTCCAAGAGAGGCATGGGGAGTCCACATTGAGTCAGGAGATCGTTTACCAGACTCATACCTCAAGGGAGATGTCTCCATTTGGAGCCCAGACACCGGCTCCTCCTATGAGACAGAAGTCATCTGGCTTGAATCCGAAGTCACCTCCAAGAGATCCACTTGCCTCTGTAGCCGGGTATATCAGTGGTATCACCAAGTCACTCTACAACTCGCACGAAGAATCCATCAATTGGCCAGGAAAGAAAGAGGAGTGGCCGAGGAAAAAGGGGTACTGGATTGGGGATCGCTCTTTCCAGAGGATTTCTGGATCACCCCTGAAGAGGGATCCTGGGACCTACCCCCCATGCACTCCGACTCAACCGCCAACAACACCTGGCACTCAGTTGCTGGGGATGGCTGGGAATCCCCCTGGCCAGACACCTCGTACGAGGCCATATGGCCCAATCCCATGGCTAGAACGGCCATCAACGAAGACTTATGGGACTCACTTTCTACCCCCATATTCCTGGGAAGGGAATACTGTACAATCCTGGAAGAAGAAGAAGGAAGTGAAGTTAGTGGTATCTCCGCCGACACCTCCTCTGACACAGACGAAACCGTCCATGTCTTTGGTGTTGAATTTCAGCACTAAAGACATGTTAGCCACTAACTCTTATCGACTTAGATCAACCAAGGATCGCCACTCGCACTTCGGTGGACGATACACTCAGAGGTCAAAGGCGATGGAATGGAGTCAGGAGCGAACTTAGATAGTTCACGAAGGATGGAGCTTTGAGTTAGGTAGATTAAACCTTAGCCGAAGCTGGGGTTTAGGCCAGCTGAGGCTCTACTTAAATACACGTTGAGTAGACTAAAAATAGTACTGTGAGAATGTTCGATCAGGACCGCAGCATATAGTAAGCACGAATGCGTAAGAAAAGAAAAGAAAAGAATAAACCGTAACATTACCCCCCCCCCTCAAGACTCGTTTGTCCCGAATGAGGCCTCGCTCTCCTCCCTACTCCGTGCGGATTCGCTGTAAAAGGATAAGACACTGTCATCATCGTTGTCATCATCTTCGGAGTCGAAGTCCCAGTTTTCGTAGACCCGTTGTAAGTTTTCGAGGTCGAGTGTAGAATCCTCTTCGTCGGATGTTTCTTCCACGATGGGTATTCCGTCTACCTCCTTCGCGGTAACTTCGCGTATTGCTATCGACGATTGGGAATCGGAGTGTTTTGGGTTTGTGCATTCGGAGGAGTAAACGGTTACGACGTCTGTGACACAGGGGGTGTCTGGGTCGTGATGAACCAATCCGACCCCCGAGGGTATCTTATCGTCCTTCCCGATGGTTTTTCCGTGTCTGTCAATCTCCCAGTGAATCCTTTGGAGGCGTGCTTCGTACTCGTTTACTAGCTCCTCTGTGTTGGCCATATTGGAGCGTTTTACCCAGGAGTTTTCTTCCATTGGGTATCCCTTCCATTTGACAAGGTACTTGGTGATGGTTCGACGATTTTGCCCCCGCCTGACAATCTTGTCTCTCTGCTCAATGATCTTTTCAATCTCGTATTCTTCCTCATCATCAATTAACTCGGGAGGCGGCCTTTCGGGGCGCAGCTGATTCGGGAAGACGGGCGTCGTGTACAGAGTCAATAGGGACTCGTTGAATCGATTATGAATCTTCCAGCCCGCTGGCAGTTTGAGTTCGTACGCTGAGGCTCCCTTCTTTGCTAGGATAGTAAAGGGACCTACTCGTCGGTCGCCCAACTTCTTGGTAGGGCGTGGGAGGTTGAGATTGGTGGCGTCGAGCCATACTTTGTCGCCGATCTGGTACTCGATGGCTGTGCCTCGATGCTTGTCATAGGCTTTTTTCATCGACTCCGCGGCCTTTTCTAGCGACTTTCTTGCCTTGTCCTGTGCCTTTCCTATCTCCTCTATCAGCTTTCCGGTGGCTGGTACTCTAGTTGCCTGCTGAGGGTTTTTGATGACCTCCCCGTTTCTCCCGAAAATGACCTTGTAGGGGGAGAATCCCGTTGCGGAGTGCTGGCGGTTGTTATGAGTGAAGGCTGCTAAGGGTAGCCATTCGCTCCAATCGTCTTGTTTGTCGTTAACGAACATTCTGAGGAATTTTTCAATTTCTTGGTTAACTCTCTCAGTCTGCCCGTCCGTCTGCGGGTGATACGCTGTGGAGGGATTTCCTTCGACGTGAAGGAGTCGGTAAAACTCCTTCATGAATTTTGACACGAAAACCGAGCCACGGTCAGAGATTATCTTTTCGGGCATTACGCCGTAAGGTACATAGACGTAGTCCCGGAGGATCTTGGCGAAGCCGAGGGAGGTGAGCTCCTCGGTGCAAGCAATAGGGATGACGGCTTTAGAGAAGCGGTCCACGATGACCAAGATAGAGTCAAACCCTTTGGGGTTTGGGAGTTTGGTGATCATATCGACCGAGATATGAGTCCACGGTCGTACTGGAACTTCGTTGGGGTGTAGAGGAGCCTTTCTCGGGCGTCGATCGGCTTTGGTTCTTTGGCAGGTATCACACCCCTTTACGTATGCTTCCACATCCCGACGCATTCTCGGCCACCAGTAGTCACGAAGAATCAATTCCTTGGTCTTTTCGATACCTGGGTGACCGGCCGTGACATGGTCATGCTTAAGAGCGATGATTTGTCCTCGAAGGTCATGGTTTACGGGCACATAGATCCGTCCGTCATACCAGAGTAGGTCTTGCTCGCAGGAGATTCCCTTCTCATGATTGAGGGAGTCTGAGATGCCTCGGTCCCAATGTCGAGGGTCGTGTGTGGCAACTTTGATCCTTTCGTGCAGCTCTTCAGCCGTGGGCATGGTTAGCGCACGGAAGTGCTCTGCTTTAAGGACTATCACATCGCGGTTATCCTCCTTCCCTTGGTCATGATCTGCCCGCCTTGATAGGAGATCCGCCTTGCGATTCTGCGCTCCAGGTTTGTGGTGTAGGGAGAATTGGTACTCCGCTAGCTCGGTAACCCATCGGGCTTGTCGTCGATTAAGTTTCTGAGGCTTGCGGAAGTACTGGAGGTTTGAGTGGTCTGTCCAAATCTCGAAGTCTTCCCTAGCTCCCATGAGGTATTGTCGCCATTCTTCAAGAGCGATCATAATGGCTAAAAGCTCTTTATCGTAAATCTCATAGTTACGTTCCGTAACTGAGAGAGCCTTGGAGAGAAAAGCGACTGGTCGCCACTTCTCGTCTTGCCACTGAGAAAGTACGGCCCCTACCGCCCCTTCGCTTGAGTCCGCCTCTACCCGAAATCGTCCTTGATCCAGCGGTATAGCCAGCACTACGTCTTCGCGGAACAGTTCTTTGAGCTTTTCGAAGGCTCGTTGTTGTGACTCCCCCCACTGCCACTCTTGCTTTCCGGTGAGAGAGGTGAGGGGCCTCACGTGCTTGCTATAGTCGCGAATGAACCGTCAATAAAAGTTACAAAATCCAAGGAAGGATTGTAACTCTTGCTTCCGCCGGGGAACAGGCCAGTCGAGCAAACCGGCGATCTTCACCGGGTCCATGCGGATCTTCCCCTTGCTAATGATCACTCCCAAATACTCGGTTTCTTCCACCTCGAACTCGCATTTCTCCGCCTTGAGGAACAACTTGTTTTCGCGGAGGATTTGTAGTACCTTGCGCACAATTCGTCGGTGCTCCGCCTTGGTCTTTGAAGCAATAAGGATGTCGTCCAGGTAAACCGATACTTCCCCGGCTGCGATAAGGTCTTTGAAGATGTCATTCATCATCCATTGGAACGTCGCAGGGGAGTTGGTAAGTCCGAAGAACATCACCAGGGGCTCATAGAGCCCACGATTGGTTCGGAAAGCGGCTTTCCATTCATCCCCCTGTTTGATCCTCACGTTGTTGTAGCCCCAACGTACATCCAACTTAGTGAAGTATTTGGCCTTCTTTAGCCTGTCCATCAACTCCCCGATAAGTGGTAGCGGGTAACGATTTTTGATCGTCATCTCGTTCAACTTTCGGTAGTCCTGGACTGGGCGCAGCTTGCCGTCCTTCTTTTTGATGAAGAAAAACGGGGAAGCCATAGGAGACTTGGAGGGTTGGATTCGACCAGTAGACAGGTTCTCGTCCAGGAACTTGTCTAGCTCCTCCTGTTCAGCGTGGTTGAGAGGATAGACTTTACAGTCTAAATTAGCATTAGCATTGGGGATCAATTCAATGGCATGATCCCAGGGCTTGCGAGGAGGCAACTCGTCGAAGTTTTCTTTGTCGAAGATATCTTTGAAGCCCCGATACTCTTCGGGTACTATTTCTTCGAAGGACTTGGCGGTCTTTTTGGCATTCGCCTGAGCCGCCAGCTCATTGGCCCTAGTCCCCATGGCTCGTACGTGGAACGCTTCTTCGAAGTCTATTACTAGAATAGTGTCCCCCTCCTCGTACTCGTCCCATCGTGCCGAAGGATCGGTATCCGGGAGAGAGAAGGGGATTTTCCTGCACGTGCACCGGGCTAAGGTAACTGCCCCGGTGTCCCAGTCGATAAGCGGGTTGTGACGTTGTAGCCAGTCATGCCCTAGGAACAAGGGGGTGGAGCCTAGATCCACCACGGCGAGTTCTATTCGCTCCACGTGATCTCCTATACGTAGCCGCACTTCGGCGTACTCGGTAATATCTCCGCCTTTGTTGCGAGTGCCGTCGGCGTTATAGACCGGGACGGGTCGGGCCGCTTTCTTTAAATTGAGGTCGTGGGCCTGGGCCCAGGTGCGGTCAATCGAACTACCGGTGGCGCCACTATCCACTAGGGCGCTCACCGCGTGGGTCTCCCTCGTGTCCAGAGTTTCTAATTGCACTTTAATAGAAACATTGCGCCCCTTTCTCCCCCGTATGTACATGGGAGGTTTCTGTAGGTCTTCCATCCACTGCCACTTCTCCCGAGCCTGGGCGGCTGTCTCGGTCTGCTCCTCCAACGCGTAACATAAGTTGTCGGTTACTTCCTCCCTTCGTCGGGGGTGTACCCATCCGTTGAGAACGGCCCTCGCCGCGGCGTCCCCTCGGGCGATGCGTAATGCACGGCGGGTCCAAAGTATCCCGTGGGGTTCGTAATACATGTCCGGGATAATCTTTTTGTTGAGTGGGGTCGCGGAGAGCGAGACAGCAGGCGAGGGGGCCCGTCGGGGGTTCACGACCGGGATGTCGGACCGTAGATGGGCCTCCTCGTCTTCGACTTCTTCCAACGAAACGGGGGTTGTCTTGCTTCGAGGCGGCATTTGGTCACCGGGCCGAAGAGGGCCCCTCGGCGGCACTTGGTCACCTTCCGTCGAAGTGGTAGAGGAGGGTTCGCTACCCTGTGTTCGGCCCTGGCCTTGGGCGCTTGTGCGCGGCGTTGTAACCTCTACTGTGGATCCGTACTTACTGCTCCTCCTGGACCCGGCGGTACTTCGGGTAACCCTTCGCGAGCGCACACATGTCGGCTCGGACGGGGGGTCTGCACCGTTTGCCGCAGCATTGTCCTTGGCTACTAAGGGCAGGGGGTCCCTCGTCTTCACGGCCTCAGCTGCTTTCTCGACGCTTCCCACTGGAACAGACGGCCCCACAGACGAGGACGCAGGCCCAGCGGGCTGGGTTGTCAGCCTTTCTCCCTCTCCGGGGTGACCTCCCTTCGTCAAGGGTGCAGTCGGGACTCGACCTAGGGGGCTCTGCCCTCGAGGGGCTTTCCCTGTGCAGTGAGCCGGGGGTTCCTGAGCTCGGACGGCCCCTAGGGGTTCAGTACTGAGCGCAGGCTGCGCGGAGTGG